GTGTGCGTGTGTGTGCGCAGGTGTGTGTGTTTGTGTGCGCAAGGGTGTGTGTGTGTGTGTGCCGGGCTTTACGGTGTCAGAACAGGGTTACATGACGTCCTGCACCAGAAAGCTTCAATCATGCATTCCGTTAATAGTGCCTACATTCAGCACAAGATTGTTGCGAGCTATGCGCACTGGGCCTCATTCGGACACTTGGTCTTTACGTGGGAGAGCCCCAAGCCCTGCAGGAGCCTTGCTCTCGCTGGTGCCGCGGCCACGAGTTAGCCGTCCCAGGTGGTATAAGGCCGCCACCTGCTAACAAAGGGTTTAGGGCCGTTTAGGGTNNTTTAGGGTTTAGGGAAACCCTCAACCCTGCAAAATTCAAGGCTTCGCCCAGAAGTGCCCGCTTTGATCCGATTGAGCAGTTGGGCTTTCTGGCGGAAACTACCGAAGCTGGCCTCTCATCCTGACCACGTAAGTTTAGGGCTTCGACTCGCGCAATTGCAAAATAGGTTATTCAGGCGCCAAGTCTCAACTCGGGCCTACTTTAAGGTTTCTGGCAGACTCGGGGTTCAGTGAAGATCACATGTTCTGAACTGCTCTCATTAAGCCTGGCTTCCGGCCTCATCACAGAAACCCCAAAGTGACCCGCCGTGGCCCATAGTTGCTCACAGGGCTTGTATGAGGTTTATGCTGAGGAGGCTGAGTGAGATGTCTGGGCCTTGGTGCAATGAACAGGACTTCGCGACAGCCGTGGCTCAATCACAAAGGCAAGACATCACCAACTTCCAAAATCCAGAACTGAAGAACAGCCCAGGCCACATGGTCTTCGCCGGTCTGGCCACTGTCCTGGACAGGTCCGTTACACGAAGGCGCGCTTCACCAGCAAGGACGGTTGGCATGCTTCTTAACTTGACTGGACTAGTGACTAGACAAGATGTCTCTGACTTGAAGCTTGCCTGTGGCCTAGTCTCTAGTTGGTAGTGTCATCCCAATGAATCTTTCCTCGCTGTGATTTCAGCCCCACTTGGCAAGGACGAACCCAGATAGCCGTTCATCCTTGCAATGTGTTGTTTACGTTACAAGGTGCTGATTCAGGGCTCAAGACTGGCTGTGTCGGGAGAGTTGGATTCAACGGGAGCTTGGGTCACCGCACATGCTCTGTATATCTGATGCTTCTGAGACCCGGGGATGCTGCAGAATGCACATGTTCGCAGTTGCCTAGTTTTCAACCGCATGTCCGGGAACCCCAAGCCCATCAAACAGGAACTCCAAACGGACCCTTACCCCTGAACCCATCGACTCTCGGAAACCCGATGTCCTTCCAAAGCTGGAGGAGCTGCCAAGGTGACGACGATTTCTGAGCCTATGCCCAGGCATAAGGGTTTAGGGTTTACGCTCTCACAACTCGGACCAGTCTTAGGCGAGGTTCCGCAGGTTTCAGTCGGCGTGACACTAGTACAAGAGCCCCTGACCACGACTATACAAACCAGGCAGATTGCAACAGAACGGCTCCACCACAACCTCAACCAAATAAAAAGAAGATGCACTCATCGTGGTCTGGAGCTACTCAGAGAAACTACAGGTGTTCATTCTTGTGCTACTTCTAAATCTGAGCCCCCGGAGGTACAACAGCAGAAGGAAGATTACTAATTAAACAAATAAACTACGAGGGGCAGATTTGGGGAACCAGCTTTGGGTTTTAGCTCAGAAGGCAGTTAGGGAGGCCTATCAAAACATCAGCATCCATCAACAGAATTACATCCAGCTATCAAGGCTATGGTCGGGGGAAAGGCCTCCCTCAAGATCACCACGTAACTAGGTTCGCCTCATTGGACGAAGTCAACTACTGCAGTCCCTATCAGAATCGAGGCGCAGCAGTCCAGGGTTTAGGGTATGTTGAATTGTGGCTTACTTCCTTTTGGGCTTTGGTGCCCGGCGAAAGTTCCGAGCCTGTGTCCTTCCGAATTAGAAATAGAGCGTTGCGCGAACAGTTCTGCATGGTTATATAATGATATCTAGGGGCTAGAGGGGAAAGTATTCCTGATTCTTGAATCATTGACACCTCTAGAGAAATTAACATCTCAGACATGCACAGCCCCTTCTTGCACGGACTTCGTCATGTGAGCCGTGATCGTGGCCTGAAAGTCCGAAGCTGTCACCCAGCGGTATGGCTTCTGGGGTCATGGTCATACTATCCGAGAAGAGGTCTGTAGACAACCCTTGTGCGCTGTAGCGCGGCAAAAAGGAGTGCAAGCTGCACACATACGTAATCGCGATCCGGCAGCAGCTGCGGGTTCAGGCGCGGCACAGTGAAACAACTGCGTGGATCTACAGCACGGTCAGAGCCACGAGTGTGCAACTAAACAGGATGCTCCAAGACCGATCATTGCACTAGCCGGTGTCACAGCGGGCTGAACTGCAACATCCTTCATCAAAACCAAGAAGAACGGCGACGGCAAGAATAGCCAAAGCCACACGATCGAGAGAGATCCTAAGCAGGTGCCCGGCACAAGGCCTGCAGGAGTGCCGTTGATGCTCCGCGACGGCGCCGCGGTCGCAGAGCCGCATAGTACGGGCGAATGCGGCCGAGCCATCCCGCCCACATCACCAGCAAAAGCTAGGACGAATGCTCCATGTTGGGTTGATGGTTCTTCTCCAGCTAGGGAATGCGAACTTCGCTTGTGCCGTGTCGCCCATGTTCCGAGGGTCCGGCCTAAGCGCTCATCTGCACCCAAGTGCCCAAATACCCTTCGTCAGGTCGGCCAATAAATGGCTCTAACTTTAAAGGATATTCGGCCCGCAGGAAGAAGGATGGGTTCTCAAATCCACTCTCAATGTGGGTAGCGGGATCTTCGGATTATGGAGAAGCTGCAACCTTGACCGGGCCCCTCGGCCACGATTAACCAAGGCATAGGGCATCTTTGGCCCAGCACGCTTGGACCGAAACAGCGGCTATCGGAACTTCCTTCGGCGCATAGCAACATGACCCGCCTCGGGCGCAGATTGCTCCGTTGTAGACTTGAGGATCTTCAGGCGTTTGAGAGCACAGTCTGCAAGTCAGAAAGAAAAGGAGTTCAGGAAACCCCCAGTCAGGCAAAAGTGGCAACCATCGGACGATATCAAGCCTTTTCGGCTCGCGAGCATGCTTCGATGGCTATGCCATAACCTCAGCCGATGGGATTTCCGAAGACAAAGCCGCAGCAAAAGATCCCAACCGTGAGGAGCGCTTTCGCGGATGACCGGCTTCGACGAGAACGAACAAGCAAGACAGAAAACCGACGGGGTTGTACAAAGAAAGCCGTGGAGGAAAGGACAGAAGCGAAGCCGGTAAAGCTGCTCAACATCCAGGCCATGCGGTAGTGTCATGTACTGTCGTAGCAGTAGACGCAGACGCAGCAGCAGTAGAAGAGGTGGTAGTGGTAGTGGTAGTGGTAGTGGTAGCAGTAGTAGCAGTAGGAGTAGTAGGAGTAGTAGGAGTAGTCGTTGTCGTTGTCGTTGTCGTTGTCGTTGTCGTTGTCGTAGTCGTAGTCGTAGTCGTAGTCGTAGTCGTAGTCGTAGTCGTAGTCGTAGTCGTAGTCGTAGTAGTCGTCGTCGTCGTAGTCGTAGTAGTCGTAGTAGTCGTAGTGGTAGTGGTAGTGGTAGCGGT